GCAATCACTGCTCCGGATTTGTGTGAGGATCTGTGCTGGGTGCAGAGCCAGGGGAAATGAGGCTCCCAGGCTGGAGGGTCTCACACACACGAGATAAGGCCGCACGTTCTGCACGGGGCGGATTTGCGGTATCCATCCCCCTTGCTACCGGTAGCCAAGGGACCTGGAACGCAGGCCTGGCCAGGGCGAGGGCCCGAGCGCGCAGCTCCTCGCAGGGCGGAGGGCGGCGCGAGGGAGGGAGAGAGGGAAGGGAAAGGCGAGTGCGAGCTGCCTTAAATGCTTGGAATAATTCCGCTTCCGTTTGGAAAGCCGCAGCCTCAGTCCCGCCGCGTCCGCCGCGTCAGCCCAGCGCCAGCTCCGCGTCCAGACCGGCCCGCAGCTGCCCGCTCCGCCGCCATGGCCACCTCCCCGCAAAAGTCGCCCTCTGTCCCCAAGTCCCCCACTCCGAAGTCGCCCCCGTCCAGGAAAAAAGATGACTCCTTCTTAGGGAAACTCGGAGGGACTCTGGCCCGAAGGAAGAAAGCCAAGGAGGGTGAGTATGGCCCTGCCGCGCGAGCGGCACAGATCGGGTACCGGGGGCCTTGGGGCCAGGGCTCAGGCCGGGCGGGAGCGCGCCGCGGGTGCCTGGAGCCGAGGGGGGCGCGGCGACGCGTGCGCGCGCTTCCAGGAACGTTGTGGCTGGCGGGCCTTGAGCGCCCCGCGGGCCACCACCACCTCCCTGCTGGTGGTCGCCTTCGCGCTGCTCTCCAGGGCCCTGCGGCGACTGACTGGGGCCACCTGGGCCTGGAACCGGGGAACGCCTGTTCTCGGTCCCGAGGCCGCTTGGCCCAGGGACCCTGGAGGCGGCCGGCCCGCCAGCCTGGAGGCGGCGTCCTCCTGTAGGCCCCAAGTCCCCGCCCTTTACGCGCCCGAAGGCTGGCGTTTCTCAAGTTTCTACTGAAACTTCTGGGCGCCGTCACTCTTTGCCTTTCGTTGGTCTTTGAAATCAGATCGTTTCCCAGACCTGCTGAAGTCCAGTTGCAGCGTTGGCCTCTTTAGATCTTTTGTCCATACCCAGGGCCTGGTGTGGCTGTATTAATGAGTAGATCAACATCAAATGTTTGTCGAATGAATGAGTGAGAAGCTGGCTTTCCTAGCGGTCCTGCTGTGTAGTGGATGACAAACTCTCACCCCAAGAGAAAACCTGGATGAGACACACACACACACACACACTTTGCATCATGACTGTGACCCTTCTGTGAACTTGAGAGCTCTTGCAAAAACCATTTCCTTTTTCCCGCCCAGGTGAATCGAGGCGATCCTATTTTTTTCTAGAAGAGCTTGCGTGGGAAATGTTTTGTCTAAAGGGCAGATTTCGCATCCTGGTTTTGGGTTTGAAAAACGTGGTCACGGTCTTGAAGAAGGAGTAGTGAGAGATGGGTAGATAGAAGTTGCTTGGTTCATTTTTTAATATATATAGACTGCTCAGTGGTGTAGGAATAGCACTTTTGAAGGTTGTGATATGAGATGTAAAATAAGTTTCATGTTCCTGAGTTATCTTAAAGCATAAAAAAGAATTTTAAAAATTTCATTGTTGAGAATTATTAAATTTAACACAATAGACTAGCCTTCCATTCTCTATATTGAAATGAGAAGCAGCAAAACATATACCCCAAAATGTCCCCCCACCCTCCATTTGGTTATTTTGGCAAACCATTAAGTAATGTGCAGTTGGTAGCAAATCCTGGCTTAGAAATTCCTTTTCTAGACTACTCTTTTAACTTTTTCCCCTCAGTATCCCTGATATGGGCTCTCTAGTTTAAGACTGGGCAACTCAATTTTTAAAACTCATGACTTACTGGGAATGCTCACACCACCATTGCCAACTCTTTAGAAAAGTTTATTGTAAAAGTAAAAAGCTGGTCTTTTTTTGTATCTACTACTATTCTATTCCAAGAGCCAGGAGAATGAGTCTGCTGGTGGCCCTTCACTTTTTTTCAGGTGGACTAGCCTGTCTCCTTCAGCCTTTTCTTCACCAGGCCAAACATCCTCTGTTCCTATAGCTGGTCCTCATAGACATGATTTTATGGCACACTGACATCCTATCTCTTCATTTTCAGTGAGGTCAACTTAGTTGGGACTTTGAAAACGATGTAGTGGAAGGACTATTTACAGAAGTGTGGGCAGAGTTAAGGGAACCCCAAGAGATGATGGGAACGTAGGCGCTAGCAGCGGTGACAGGGGCCTGTTACCACCCCTAGACCTGGAGGGACAAGGGAAGCAAATCGGAACCCATTGAGAGCCGGAGCTGTAAGAGGCTGCCTGACAAACTGCAGCTGTAGAGGGACACGTGTCAGAAATGTGAAGGTGGAGCAGGGAGACATGCACAAGAGAGACTGCATGTTCTCTTTCTTTTTGCCCGGAATCTTTTTCTGGTACTTAAAATTGGCTAGACCCAGTGGGAAGTCACCAGGGCAAGGGAATCTGGGTGATATTGTATGTAGGGGTCAGCTCCTTTAGGGCACAGAGCAGTGCAGAGAATAAATGATAGTGGGGAGTGGGGGCGGGGGCAATGGAGAATAGCTAGCAGGTCCTCTCAAAGCAAGGTGCTCAGAAGTCAACATAGTACAGTAGTAATCCTGTCCAGCTAGTCCTAGTTAGAACAGGGCTGTCACCTCCTTTGCTCTAGCACAGACATCATGTTCTATTAATGCAGTCAAGGCTGTTTTTCTTTATTTTGCCAACTATATCATACTGTTATCACTCATTGAGCTTGCTATCAGCTGAAAGATATTTTTGTTTGGTACTTCTCAAGCATTCCCTTCCCTATCTCAGATTTACTCTATTGGGTTTTTGAAACCAAGTGCAAGATCTTGTTTTAATCCTTGTTATACTTAACTGTTAAGTCCTTATTCTGTCATTCAGTCTGTGAGCTAATCCAGGGGATGTAAATGGGTGAATTGAAGAGCATGTGCTTCTCTTAAAGGAGCCCACCATCACTCAGCTCCAACTGCTTGCTGCTGCACCTAGTAGTTCTGTGAGCCAAAGGTCAAAGAAGGCAGTGGGTGGGTCTGAAATGACCTGTTCTTAGTGAGCATGTGCTGCGTCTCAGTGATCAGTGCTTTACGTCGTCAGGGGCCTACTAACCATCACTTCAGTAACAATACGGCTAGATCTTGCTCTGGATTCTGTATAATCTCTCAGCTCTGTGCTTTGCAGAAACTACCTTCTTCCACTTTCCCGCTAGTGTTCTAGAACCTCCCATTCTTCACGATTCCTCAAGATCATTGATGTTGGTCTGTCCACAGATTATTTTGGTGCTTTGGCATAGAATTCTCCTGGGCCCAAGGACTACCATTCATTCATTTTGATACCTGTTGTGTCCCATTGTAGGACATGGATTAGAAAGACATAATATATGTTAGAATATTTAGGTCAATGATTTCATATAACAGTATATCTTCCTAAGAATACCTATGATGTACATCACAGAATGACTATAAATTTCATGAGACTACATTAAAACTTGTCATCACTGTAGTGTTTTCATAAGAAAAAATAGCATTGGAGAGCAAGAGAGAATACAGGTTAAAAGCATGGTCTTTGGTAGAGACATTTGGGTTTGATTTCTGATCTGGCTCTTTATTTATTGCTATGATTTAGGACAAGTTCCTTAATCCCTTAAAGCCTCTGTTTCTTCATCTATAAAATGGGAATAAAAATTGCTTCCTTAATGGAGGTTGCCAGGCTTAAATTAGATAAAGTATGTCCTATGCGTAGCATGGCACAAATAATAATAGCTGTTAAAAGTGATAGCTCGATTTTATACAGTCTTTAAATTTTGAAATAGTTTTTTCATTATGGACTGCAGAAGATTCTACAGGTCTACAAATAGGCTAGTAGCCTATGACTGTATGAAGCTCATCTAAGCACTATTTAGGTCCCTTTGGAAATTAGGGATCTTTCCTTGCAAGTCAGATCCTCTGGTCACATTTCCAAATGTCACATTTCAGCATTTTAAAAATATCTAGCCCCTTTTAGTGAGTCGAATCTAAGAGGCTTTTGTTTTTCTCTGTGGGTTGTCTTTTTGGGGTTTCCAGTCACCGATTATGCCATACACGGCCCTCCTGTGTAGGTTCTTAGACTAGCCTTTCAGAGTCCATTTGCCAAAAGGCTACTTTTCATTTTCCTTCTTCTAGATCTATCCTTGAGACTTGGTCTTTCCAAGAACACCATCTTGAATTGCATCTGCCAGCTGAAGGTGCACTAAATTAGGTCAGCAGCAATGGTTATTCCTGTCATTTACCCTTTACTTATTCTCCTTCAGAGTTTTACATTTCATCCAGTGCCTGAAGTGTTTAGTAAGGGCTTTAATTTAATAATTTTTATAAGGATCCTTATCACTTTGGTTCACATTGGCTGTCCAGTATCATTGGGGGAAATCTCCAAACTCTGCAACAGACTTATGGTTTCTAGAGTGGAGCCCTCAGCATGGATGAGCAATCTTTCTCTTTCCTCCTAATCAGCTTGAATTTTCATTTTGCAAAGTGCCTCCTCAAACCCTCACCACTCAAGTACTTTCCAAGACCTCGAGACAGAAAACTGAGTACCTGGTATGAGGTCGTTCAGTTTCTCTTCACTGCCCTCCTTCCCTGCCCCTATCTACACCTCTCCTTTCACACTCCTCCCTGCCCTCGTCCCTTCCAAGGAAATCCCTTCTCTCCTTTCTCCCGAGGCCATTCATTTCCCCTTTCTCGCAGATTTGGCATCGCCAGATATCTTTTTTTGTCATATCCTCAGTCTTTTTCATGCTGATCTATTCCCCTAACATTCTATAAATACGCTTGAGTCTTTCCTGTTTGAAGAAAAACTGATACTGGTTTCCTCTTAAGTTACTTACCAGAGGTCTTGAAAGAGTTGTCTATACTGGCTTTCCCTTTCTTATCTCCTAGTCACTTCCTGATCCGCTATTCCCATTCTTGCTCCAGTTATTTATTGAGTGCCTACCATGTGCCAGGCACTGTGCTAAGTGCTGGAATATAGCGGTGGAAAAAAAGACAAAACTCTCTGCCCTCATGGAGCTTACATTCTAGTAGGGGAAACAGATAATAAAGAGATAAATTGGTAAAATATGTGTATTTTGGTAGAGTGGTGACAAGTGCTATAGAGTGAAATAGAGCAGGAAAAGAGAAGATGGAATATTGTGGGATGAGGGATGGTTGGCGATTTTAAATGGGATGGCTAGAGAAGGCCTCACTGAGAAGAGTGTATTTGAGTAAAGACCTGAAGGAAGGAAGGGAGACGGCCATGTGTGTATCTTGGAGAAGAGTGTTACAGGTAAAAGGAATGACAAGTTCAAAGGGTAGGAGTGGACTGGGTGTGTTGAGGACTAGCAAGGAGGTCGCTGTTATTAGAAGAGAGAGTGAACACAACTATGGACAATGGTGTGGTCTCAGAGGCAATTAGCGAGTGTGGGACAGGTTGTGTAGGGCTCTGGAGGCCATTGTGAGACCAGGGCCTTTACTCCAAGTGAGATGGGGAGGTTTTGGAGAA